AGGATATTGAGCTCAAATAATGAACAGACATTAAAGGCAAAGTCATTCTCAAAAGATCGTAATTAGAAATGTTTGGAATTATTGTGAAGTCCACATGGATTATACATGGTTATTGCCAATATAAGCTTTTTCTATTTCAAATATTTCACTGTGAAGTCTCTCAGTGTAAGTCCTTGGTTACATAGTATTTATACTGCTCACATTTCAATCTCCAGTTTTGAGAAAATAAAAATTAAATTTAAATTACACTATTTTGATAATCTAAGTAATATCATGTCAGTACAATTCTGTGTCATTTTCATTGTTTTTTCCTGTCTTTAAAATAAAAAGAAAAACTCAAACTATCAAGAGCTCATAAGTACTAAAAGTTTCACAGCCAGTGGTTGTTGTGTCAGTGGAGGTTGTATTTTATTACTATTGCATCACAATTTTATTATGGGCTGTGTGACATCAGTAGAAACCTGTGGATAGTTCTGGGGAGTCTGAGGACAGATAAGTGAAGAAGACTCAAGAAGATGCACAGCTTTTATGAATGTGTTTATAGAAGAAAGTACATGATAAAACTTCTTTCATAACTCTCGAAATCTCCCGCATCTCCTAAGGAAGAGCGGTTGCAAATGAATCATGTCTCCCTCCAAAATCACTGTAGACATAAGCCACAGAGGAACACAGGGATTCAGCCACATCGTACATCTTGACCTCACAGCCAGAAGAATGAGGGAGAGAAGGAAATACTTGTATACTTACCTAGGAGCCCCTTAAAAGTAGTAACTGGTAGTGTTCTCCACCTAATGAGACTGTGGCCCTTAAGACTTGGTGACCATTGGGATCCTTGGCAGGATAAGATTTCAAAAGTCTCACAATACACAGCTGCTTTCTAAGAGCTTGTAGCTGATATAGTCCTCACACCAGGGATAATCTTCCTCACAAGTCCACCCATTGGAAGTTTCCTGAATACTCACCCCCAAATTTTCCCATACTTTTTATAGCACTCCACATCAAACTTCCATGTGCCCTGGGAAGAAAAACAAACTTTGAATTCATTGCTGTTCAGAATGAACAGTCCACATGTGTCGCTGTGGAATGAATGCATGGGAACCCATTAATTCAGACTATCCTCACAGGTAGGTAGAGGAAAAGGGAGATTAGAGACATCTGAATTGAAGATAAAAGAGAGGATATATGTGAAATGGAGACTTTAGAGTAACTATTGGTTTCTCTCAGGTATAGTACATTTCAAAGGAATTATCCTTGTATATAAAATTTAAGAAATCCCTTGAGGAGCTTTTCTTGTGCATGTGTTTTCTCTAAAATTATGGAGCTTCCAGCATTTTTGGTGCACGCTGTAATTCCAGCATTCAGGAAAATGAGGTAGGAGGATTGCCTAACTTCCAGGTCATTGTGAACTGCATAGTGAGAGCTTATCTCAAAAAACCCAAGGATTAAAAAATTAGTGAACTTATGTAGCTGTGAATCATCCCCTCCATGGGTACATAAACCCAGTCAATGAGTTTCCCTTGTATGTGCCGTCTTTTCTCTCTCCATTTTCCAGTTTTTATGTTTCATGAGTCTTCTCTAGAATGCTGGTGGAATTAGGAAGCAGTGCACTGGTCTCTTCTATTCTAGCAGTGGCCTCGTTTCATCTATTAGATCTACATAAGCCTCACAACATTGTTGGTTGAGAAAATGAGTCAGTGCTCCAGCTTATCATAGAAAGATGGGGCACATCTACATATAGAAATGACAATTTAAATACTTGCTCTAAGTTTGCACTTCTGTGATGTAAAACTAAATCTTCCTGCTAGTAAGTTGCACCTAAGAATTTTAAATATGTAAAAGTACATATGGGAAATGTTGACTTGGGGGATGCATCCGTTAAATAATCGATGTATCAATAATGAGGCTGAAGATTGCACTTTCAGGTGGTAATGCATTAGGAAATTCTGAGTCAGTAACTACACAAAGACCTTAGTTATGAAAATATAATCTGAGTGAAGCACCCAGAGCCTTTGGGAAAGGAAATGTGGGCAAAGAGCAGCCTGCACTCAGTGTCTGCTCCTGGCCTTTTGCGTTTATGCCGGGGAACATCTGTGAAGTGCCAGGGAAAGGGCCAAGTTCAGAGCAGCTTTGTAACAAAGTCTCCTTCTCAGTTATGCCCATTCCTTCTTCAGACTCACACATACAGTGCTGTCTTTGATGGGAAAGAAATAAAGTAAAAGGATCTCACTCTACACTTGAATTCCCTGGAAGATGTTATGAGTAGGAAAAGCAGGGTTAAAGTCTAGGAATTAACCTAAGGAGATTGAAAAGTTTCAGACAAAATTCAAACACTTGAAAGTTTTCCAATGTAGAATACTTAGACCATGTAAAAAGTTGAAAATCCAGACCTAGTCAGTAAATGGGAAATGAAATACTATCCATGAATTCTGGTATGCATGTGAAAATTTGAATCTATGGTGCACATGTTCATAAGCTAATAGCAGGCAATCCTCACAAGCATTTCTCCAAATGCTGATAATTTACAGCTGAGCTTTTAAGAAATATTCATGGGGCAAAAAGAAATGTCCACCTTCAACCTCATAGCATCTGAGTTCCATATCCTGGGCTTCCGTCGCTGACCTGTCAGAATTTTGCATGTTCTTGAGGCAAACCTCAGACTCCACAGATGTGAATACAGAGCCTCAGGGAAACCTAGCTGTGTCTGCAATGGAATCCACACAGTGTCTGTGGAAGCCAGAAACTTCAGAATTTTCTTTCAAGGACCACTGTTATGATAGACCTAGGCTAGTGTTTGGAAGCAGCAGAAGAAAGAGAAATTGCACAAATGCAACTCACCTTGAAGTAGGACAGAAGATTCCCAAGAAAAGGCAGAGGTTTTGGACCAGGAATACCCAGCCTCTTAAAATGTCCATGTGTGTATGTCCCATAGCTAAAAAGAGAAACAGAAATTCACATCTTGGTTTGAGACTTTGCATAAATAAGGGTATATCTATCATTGACTTGGGAACTTTAACCGTGAAGCCATAAAGGTACCATGTATATGATAAATAACAGAAAATATGCAAGAAAAAATCATACATTCACTCACTATCTCCTCTGCCACCTCCACAGACAACTTGCAAAACTGAAAAAACTAAGCTAAACCAGCTGTTTCTATACTCTCAATCCCACAGTGAATAATTGAAATGCACTCAAATTTGAGTGCATCCACAAGATTCAGGCTGGAATTTTTCCAGGTATTTCTTTTGCTGATATCAAGTTAGGAAAATCATATTTCCATGAGGAAGGAATGTACATACATTCTAGGGAAAAATAGTGAATGTCTTTCTCCTTCAGTACTAAAATTTCATGTGAATCTATCTAATCAGGGACACATGGTGATGGAGATTCTGTAATAATAGTATTTACAGTTTGTTTAGATATTTTTATGCATTTTTTCCCCATATACCATGTCTCCTTTAGTGTTTGGCTTTTCTGAAAACTGCCTTTCCAGAAAAACCTAGTGGCAGTCAAAATGCTCCTCTTTCTACCAAGTGATGGAGGAGTTCAAGCCTCCATTGGTCTCTAAGAAATGTGAATATCTGAGAGACACCCAAGTCTCTATTGGCAGCAATCTTACTGATTTTAGGTATAGAAAAGGTTAGTTACATTAAAGAAATTATAAGGAAGAACAAAGCATGGACTCCATATACAGGCTGTTTCTCTCCTTATTGAATCTGTGCTACCAATTGATGTGACTCATAAGTATGAGGCTTACTTTTTATAAAACTGCCTGATGAAGTCATTAGCATATGATGCTTTACATCAACTGTCTCTGTACAAAAACCATGGAGCAGGTGCATGGTTGGGTAGCATATTCTAGTATGTCATATCCAAATACTCACAGATAGAATTTCTGGACCTTGCAAAGAAATTTTTTTCTAGTGTGTGTGAAAGATGACAGAGAGTAGGCAGAAGAGAGAATGTGGAAAGAGGCTACAGAAAACCACGTTACTTTAGAGCTCCTAGGCTTACAAATTGTCCCCATAGCAACAAATGAAGAAAGTGTGGGTAAAGGTATGGTATACATAAAACCTTCAATGCGCCCTAGAGTTTACCAGTACAGGAGAGGGGATCTTCTGAATTTCATGAAGCTTCCTATTGATAACAATATTTGTATCATGCAACATAAAGTAAGTAAACAATATATAACTAAGCTATTTAAAGAAATACATATCTCCTCTCCTCTAGAGGGATGGCATGAGGTCAGTATAGGTGTAAAATATTCTTTACATGCCCAATAAATTTCATAAAATATCATAGAGTGAAACCAAAATATTGCATGAAAGGACAGTTGTGTGAAGGATACCCAAGGGATACATCAGTACAACCCATATGGGTACTAAAATCTCTCTCCAAAGTTTGTGTAGAGATGTAGTGCTCCATTCTAAAAATGCATCATTTAAAATTAAATACTTGTGAGTACTGCTGGATGGAGTTACTGAGATATAAGAAGGAGGGGAGATGCAAGGAGGGCCACAGATAAGAGGGAAATATATATATATTGCTGAAGTGAGCAGTATAAAAGGGAAAAGTGAATCCAGAATTTGTTATTAAATATGGGTTGCATCAGGAAATCTTGTGTACAGCATTCTGTGGATTAGGAAAGGAGGAGAAGAGGAAACACCACCCAATTCCACAGAGCACAAGACTTTCACCCATTTCTCCCAAAAGACAGACTAAGCAAGATAAAAATTCGGGGTCAGATGCACATCAAATTGCCTGTCCTAGAATTCTTGAGCTTTCCAAGTAATTCAGGTTCTCATTTCACATGGTGTCAGTTGTCTGCAAGCTTCAGATACATCATTCTAGTTGCAAACTGACAGTCAATCATGTCACCAGTGAAACAGTCTTGTCCATCTCCTTATAGATACAGAAAGAGGAAATGCAAGGAGGATGCCCAAAACATCATCTGAAGGGGAATAGGAGAACAGAGAACAGGAGCATGGACAATTACTCACAGATACAGAAGCAGGAGACTGAGAGCCAGAAAAACCCAGGTTTCTGTGGAAAAATTCCAGATCAGGTCCATTGTCAATGTACTCAAAACTCCCCTGAATTTTCAGGGAGACACCTGCAGACCTCCACTACTCATTGTAAATCAGCAAGGAAAGCTGGGGTGTATATGCTCTGGTTAAGGAGGTGGGATAAGGCCTCCAGCCAATAGAAGGGCCTCCTGTGCAACACCTGTCTTGGAGGAGACCGGTGCCCATTCCAGCGTGGCAATTGGCAATGAAATAAGCACACCTACTTTTGATCTCCTTTGACTTTACCCTATGTGAAAAATCAATATAAAATACCATCCAAGGTTCAGAGTATTGTTTCTCATCAGCATTTGCAATGCAGCTGTGAGGATTAAATATTTTCCAACCTGCACTTATCTGTATTGTTGTCTTCATTTTGAACTATGTACCTTAAATCCTTTTAAACAAACTTTTTGTACAGATCTTTATCCATGTAATTTCATCACCCTAAAATCTGAGCCCAATTCTAGACCCCTTGTCATACTTCACTTTAGGCAAAAACTATATCTAATAGTTTTCTCTCAACATGAGCTTCCATCAAATAAAATTATTTCTTTCTGTGGGCAAATTCCATCTCACTCACATACATCTTTTATTGTCCTTTCAACTTAATTCCACCCTTGCTGATTTCCTTCTTTTCTTCATTTACCGGGTCATGAGGTTACCAATAAAGCAAGCCAGCTATTATTCACTGCTATGTCCCTACTGCCTAGAAGAATACTCTACATACATTGAGCATCCACTGAGGTTGGTTGAGTTGAGCTGGGTGATTACTGTGGTATCTGATGTGCTTGCTCAGTAAGCTTTTGGGATATCTCTATCTTCATGGATTATTAAGATAACAGAGGATATTTCTTGTGTCTCAGCCACCAACATGGAAAGTTCAGGGATTTTGAGGAAAACAGGTTACCTTACGGGAGAAAGGAAATGGAAGAGTTGGAGTTGAGATCTGCACCAAGCTGTATCAATTATTGTTACTTTTCCATAACTCCACTAAAGGAACTGACATAACAAGGTAGAGTGAGGGATTCTTCAAAAAAATGTCCCCAACTCTCAGAAATCCTTCATCTTTCAGAACAAGGGTTATGAACTGGGAAGAGGACAATGACAACAAAGTGAGTGGACAGGTTGACCCCAACACAATGCTGCCAAAGACATGGTGCCCGTCACTACAGAATGCACACACTGCAGTGAGGACTGCATCTCCATAAATATTATACCAACCTTTACTTTGTGGCATTTGTAGTCAGAGGAGATGTCTGTTGGCTTTTCTGTAAATCTGTGAGGACCTAAATGGATAGAGAATAGGGCTTGGAAGCTGTTCAATGGGAGACCAGTAATAGCTCTTACATTCTTCTTTGAAACTCTTTACATATCTGATGAGGAATTCCCTTTCAAGTCACACAGACCCATTTTAGAAATCACACAGACCCATTTTCACCACTCTAACCAGTATTCTGTGTACATGTACCCTAACAAGTCAAAGAATACAAGACAAAATACCTCAAAATTCTTAAACTTCAAGAGAAACAAGAAATACTTTGTCTGTGCTTGCACACTTCTGTTTTGCTTTATTCTTGGGGACCACACTTGTGCCAGAACTTATAGGCTTCTCACCAACTTAGTTGATAGAGTTCAATGCCTTATTGGCTTTGGCAGTGGACAGCCATGCACAACATAACTTTGACTTCCTTTAGATTCATAGTGTTTAGAGGGCAAAATAAAAATTCGGTGAGTCTTACCAGAAAACCCACAGATTATCCATCACCACTCATCACCTCTTCCCATTCTTGTGACTTGTAATTTCCTGAGGCATCGCAGCACTCTTCTGTGTAGGTGGATGTGTCATAGTTAAAAAGATTTATTCATAGTTTCTGCCAGACCTTTACTGGGGAGTTTGTTCAAAAGCATTTCTATCTTAGTGTGTCACATTTGAGTGCAGCATGTCTCCAAGAGATACCTGATGAAATCCACAGAGGTTTCTGTGAAGAGGAATGAAAAATGTATTTATTCATCCATGCAGTGCTTCAAGGACAAGTATGAGACTGGTATGTGCAGATGTGGTAATAGCGGTGGGCTGGATGCCCCATATTATTCTACCTTGGTATTAGCCATGGGTAGAGCTAGAGAAACATATTAATGAGTATAGATTGAGGTGTACCTATGGCATACCCATAGCATCTTTAGGGGAAAAAAAAGCAATTCTGCAAAGATGCTAATAGGGAAAAAATAAGTATCCACAACTTAGGACAAGTAAGGATAACCATGGAAAACTTGAAGACACTATCCAGAAAAAGTCAAATTTTAAAAAGCAGGACATTGGAATTTGGGGGTGCTGATATTTTTTAATGCTTTACATGTTCTATAGTGAAACCCTTTGTCAGAGGGGTAGTCAGCTAAAATTTTTTCCAAGTTTGTGGGTTTTCTTTTGACTCTGCTGGTGATTTCTTTAGATGTGCAGAAACTTTTCAGTAGGATGAGATCCCAGTTGTTGATTCTTTCAAGTGTTTCATGTGCAATTTGGTCTTTGTTCATGAACTCTCTGCCTATCCTTATGTCTTCAAGGTTTTTACCTACTTTCACTTCCAATAGCTTTAATGTTTCTGGTTTAATATTGAGATCTGTGAACCATTTTGACTTGAGTTTGGTGCATGGTGATAGACTTGGGTCTATTTTCAGTCTTTGGCAGGTAGTATGCCAATTTTTCCAGCACCATTTATTAAGGAGACTATCGTTCTTCCAGTGAGTTTGTTTGGCCCCTTTATCAAAGATTAGGTGGTTGAGCGCTTTTTTGGTTGTGCCTGTTTCTTCCAGTCTGTTCCATTGATCCTCAAGCTTGTTTTTTAGCCAGTATAAGGTTGATTTTATGACAGTAGCTTTGCAGTGTAATTTCAGGTCAGGGATTGTGATTCCACCTGACCTATATTTGTTGCCAAGGATTGCTTTTGCTATTCTGGGTCTCTTCTGGTTCCAGATGAATTTAAGGCATGTTTTCTCGAGATCTGTGAGATATGCTAAGATATGAATGGTAATTGCATTGAATCTGTACAGCAGTTTTGGAAGTATGCCCTTTTTCACGATGTTGGTTCTTCCTATCCATGAACGAGGAATGTTTTTCCATTTACTGAAATCTTCTTTGATCCCTTTTTTCAGAGTTTTCATTGAATAGATCTTTTACTACTTTTGTTAGATTGATTCCTAAATATTTCAGTTTCTTGGATGTTATTGTGAAAGGTATGGTTTCCCTAATTTCTCTCTCAGTCTGTTTGTTATTTGTGTATAGGAATGCTATTGATTTTTGGGTGTTGACTTTGTATCCAGCTACACTGCTGAATCTGTGGATGAATTCAAGGAGTCTTCTTGTGGAGTTTTTGGGGTCTTCCATGTAAAGTATCATGTCACCTGCAAATACTGATGGTTTTACTTCTTCCTTTCCTGTCCTTAGTCCTTTTATTTCTCTCTTGTCTAATTGCTCTGGTTAGTGTTTCCAGAACTATATTGAACAGGAGTGGTGACAGCGGACATCCTTGTCTTGTTCCCGATTTTAAAGTAAAACCTTTCAGTTTTTGTCCATTTAGAATGATGTTTGCTATTGGATTGTCATAGATGGCTTTGATCAGGTTAAGGTAAAGACCGTTTATTCCTATTTTTTGTAGAGTTTTGATCACAAATGCATGTTGGACCTTGTTGAAAGCTTATTCCGCATCTATTGAGATGATCATGTGATTTTTGTCTTTGGCTGCATTGATATGGCATTTTACATTGATAGATTTGTGAATATTGAACCAACCTTACATCCCTGGAATGAATCCAATTTGCTCATGATGTATGATTTTCTTGATAACTTGCTGCATTCTATTTGCTAGTATCTTATTGAGTATCTATATTCATGAGGGAGATTGGTCTGTAGTTGTCTTTCTTGGTTCAGTCTTTCTCTGGTTTTGGTATCAGTATGATGCTTGCTTGAAATGAGTTAGGGAGAATTACTTCCTTTTCAATTTCATTGAATAGTTTGAGGAGTGTTGGTATTAAATCTTCTCTGAATACCTTGTGAAATTCTGCTGTGAATCCGTCAAAGTCTGGCCTTTTGTTTGTTGCTAGGATTTTAATCACGCTTTCAACTAGAGATCATACTCATAAGTGAAACAAATCAGACCTGCATGTGCAAGCACCACATTGTCTTACTAGTGTAAAACCTGAAAGAGTTTATTAAAACTAGGAGGTATGATGGACATTGTGAAATGATAGGAAAACACTCAAGGGTAAAGGGCAACTGAGATGTGGGAAAAGAAAAAGGAAAGAAGGAGAAATATAGTATGTATGTATATGCGGGATAGTCTACATAGTTGTTCTACCGTCCTCTATTTCTTTGCTGAAAGAAACTGTCAATGAGTCCTTCATTGATCAATATTGCATGTCTGTATCTGTTTTCATGAGAAACCACTTTGAAGATATCAGTATGTAATTAAACAAACATTGTTAATTTCCTACCACTTTGTTTGTTATTCTCTATTGTCTGTACTGTTCTTTTGCTATTTTGTAAAAGGTTGTCTGTCTGTTAATATTTTCCTCCTTTAAGTTTTAAAATTTAAAAAAAGCAGGAAATCCTAATACCGTTGTAATTCCATTCCTTCACTTTGAAGCACTTTTTAATATGATCCAGCTAATAACTGTGTTTACAGAGAAAGGGAATGTGATTCAGCAACTCTAAGTGGCTTTCCCCAAATATGGATGATAAATGAATATAAACATGAAGTTAGTGTGAAAGGAGTATGAAAATTCCTTTGCTGCTTTGGAACAGCACTATTCAACACATTCCACTCATTAACAAGATTCACAATCAAACAACACACACTTAATTATTCAGCAGAAAACTTGTTGCTCCTCTGGCACTTCATGTTTAATTTATTGCCTCATAATTTTCCTCATGTGTCTTCTAGATCTAAGGCCCTATCTCAGTTCAACAGGAAGAAGGAGGATACAAATCATAAAGAATCTAAAGACATTGATGTAGGGTTTCCCTTTATGTTTTTGACCACAGAAGATCACAGAACAAATTCAAACTTGGAAAGTAGAGTGTCCTCAC